GGACAAAATTTCGATTTTTACTTTATTACATTATCTTGAAGAATACATCTTTAGCTATCAAATACAAGTTTTTGCTTGTTGATATGTTAATTAGAACTGAAGTTATAAGCATTTTTCTGTAACGGAATGCAATCTTCAGCACGACATATAGTTCATAATATATATAGCGTAACATAATTATTCTGCAAATTATAAAGAAGCAGCTTCGGGTATGGAAGCAGTTGGTGTTTATTCGCTTTTTGAATGATCTATTAAATTACGAAAGCTGAAGTACACGTAGTATTATGAGGATGGAGATTCTAAGGGGTTTTTAATTGGGAAAAATATATATGGTAAAGATTCGGTCAAGAAACTGGAATGCATTGGACACTGTACAGAAAAGGGTTGGCAGTGTACATTACGAAAAGCAAAAAACTCCACTCCTGGATTGAAAGGGAAAAAGGTAAACTGATTGGTTCTTTTATTGACAAACTACAGAATTGGGGATTGCAATTAGAAGCAATGTTGGAAACTTAATTGAGATGCAGCAGGCTGTACTAGCTGCTTGTTCCATTGTAGCTCTTCTTCGAAGCCAATGCCCTCCTCAATCAACGAGTTGGTGCAACTATCAATGTGCGATTGCAGAAAAGAAAACAATCAGCCAAAAACCTCTGGTATATCAACATATATTTTGAATTTAATTAAACCTATACATATATGGAGTTCACTACATAAACAAGAGTTATTAAAAAAGTGCATACATGGCAAAACTCAAAATATCAAAGAACGTTTTAATGGCATTTTATTGCAAATTGTTCCTTGCGAACATTAATGTTTGGAGCAATCATTAAGTTACATTAAATGACAAGTGTTGTTATTTAATGTTATTTAATGATGGATTTATAGGTTTGCTTGAAGCATTTTCAAGGTTAGCTGCGTGTTCTGAATTTTACACTGAGCAGGGAATTCTAAAACATGATAAAGTGCAAAATCATGACTCTTGGCGCCATTCCGTAAGTTTTACAAAAATCCAAAGAAAAAAATTACGCTTTGTTCGAAAGAAAAAGCGCAATGTTTGTGAAAATACAAACAAGGTGTCAATTAAAAAGAAGGGCATTTTAATTACCAGGGATGCATTTTTCACTAACAAATTGTTTTATGAAAACTTTAAACTTGTTTTCTGAAAAATGTGTTTTTCAGTAAATATTGTCAATAGTAACAGCCATAACTCCCAATTTTATGAATAAAACTAAATGATACTTTCTATGCATGTTTCATATAATCTGATGCATGCTCTGAAGCAGAAGATTTTAGAAATATTAATTAGAAGTTGAATTGTTACTTTTTATTCTTAAATTTTGGATGCAATAATAGGAAAATATGCAGTTAATACTATATATTTTGACATATCTCAAGAACATATAAATATTTCTTAATTATTTTGCTTCATTGCATACAAAATAAGTGTAAACATAAATACAAATTAAAAAAAAACTGTATATTTATGTATACATTGTTCACCGTGGTTGTTGCCGTAATGACAAAACTTAAGAAAAAATTATCCTTTTTTTCATTATTTTTCAAAATTAAAATTACTTAGCATTACTTTTTAAGCTGTTTTCACTCATTAGTATGCTTATCTTCAAATTAATACGTTTATAGTTAAAATAAAAACCATTTCTTAAAAAATGGTATCCGAACGAGGTCGGATACCTTAATTACTTTCATTTAAATTTTAAAAGAATTCCTTTGATTATTTTCTTTTACAATTCCTGCAGATATAATTCAGAAAATAACTGGGTTGATAATTCTTTTGCCTGCTTCTTGACAAAGGCCAAAGAATTACCAACTTTTATTTATTATTTATTAATTTATTTTTCAATATTTGACGATTATTATTTTATTTTTGTGTGAATTTACTTTTATTTCAGTTCAATTTTTGTTTGGATCTTTTTTTTAAATTTGTGCTTTCCTATTAAATGGTTTATCATTCTTATAAGGCCTACCAGTGGCCGAGCGGTAAAGTCGCTGAACACTGGTAGTTCGGTCCGAGGTTCGAATCCCGCGAACGGGCTGGCTGCATGGGTGTTTTCGTAGTTTTCTCCATGTGTAACGTGTACACTAGCCAGTTTCCCTTAGAAAGTCCTCCACGAAGGCATCCCTACCCTTAGGCAAATAGCCCTAGTGTGCTTTGCCATAATTAAATACACCTACCATTCTTATAATTCTTCATCTTAGTTGATATTAATTCTATATATTTTGGCTCTTCCTTATATGTATGTACGTATGTAGCATAAAAATAGGTAAAATAAAGTACTAACTTTAATTTTTAATAAATTTTAATCCTTCTTTTTGTTGTTGTAACTTATGCAAGATTGCGTCTGTCATTGGCACCTGCCTGATCACCATACAGGTGACAGTACTATTACTTCGATCAGTTCCTCTTCGAATTTTGATTGAGAGAAAACCGGGGAACGGGTCCAAGGGTCTAACACCTCTCTTCCATTACCACCAAACTCTCGAGAGGACTCTCGACTCCCCATATATTTAGAGTGCCGCAAAAACATTATATATTTACAAACTTCCATGCCTTCTCCGGGATTCGAACCCAAGCCCTTCGGTACCGCAGTAGGTTCCCCTAACCACTGTACCAACTGGGGGCTGCCTCCTTTTTAATTTTGTTATTTCCGCTTTCTACTCTAAAAGTAGTAGCTGCTTATAATAAATCTCTCTAAATTACGTCATTCCAAAACTAATCCTTCTGGCATGATTCTTACATAAGGCCAATGATGCAGCTACGTCCATTCAGAATATTCAGAGCTGAGAACTGAAACTCAGATTAAATTAATCCAAAAGCGGGAATTCAAGATTTTGAACCAAAACTAAATCCTTCTGAATCGAGTTTTCACCGGGTTTTTTTCTTGCTAACCTGCTGGCACCTGTTGCTCCTTCCTTCCCTCGCTTCTGTCGCGTGCAAGATTGCTGTTCGCTGCTTTCTTACTTACTTCTTACTTACTTATTAGGCGGGTTTCTTATCCTGAAAAAGTAAAAAATCATTTACGCTATAAGGTAATTCTCCCGCTTTTCTAGCGTGCCTTCGTGGTGCCACGCTGGACCGGTATTCCAGAGGTCCGTGGTTTGATTCCCGGCGAAGGCGGTTGCTTCCAAAAAATACCCGATGTCTCTACAGTGGCGCCCGAACTAAAATGGTGTTGGGTAAGGATTCTCCACACACAGAATTTGGCGATTGGGTCCCCTAAAATCCCCAGTCGCCCTTTAAAAAGGGGGAGTATATAAGGTATTTCTCCTACTTTCCTGGCGTGCCTTCGTGGTGTAGTGGTTCTGCACCCTGGGCCGGTATTCTAGAGGTCCATCGTTCGATTCCCGGCGAAGGCGGTTGCTAATTTTTCATCTCTCCGGCCTCAAATTAACCTAATGTCTCTACAACACTTGAAGGAAATATTTGTTGCAAGCGTTGTGCACAAGCGTTATGCTAGTTCTTAAACTAGCGGAACAGCTTAGCTAAAACTGTTTCATTGTTAAACTGGCATCTGCATATCAAAATTTGATTATAGGTTCTGTTTAGTCTTATGATTTAATATTTTAAAACTTAAAAAACATTTTTGAACTTAAATGGTAAACTCTGGACGTATTAGACTGTAATCTGAACTTTTGCATTTCCCCCCTTTCCATTTCGATATGTCGATACTAATTCGCAAAAAGCAATGTGTTGTTTTCACATCAATAAATTCAAACGTAGCGGTTTCAAAGAATTGGGTTTCCTTTTACACACAGAGGGTGAAAAGTGTATGTGTATGTGTATGTGTATTTTAATTATGGCAAAGCACACTAGGGCTATCTGCCTAAGGGGATGGATGCCTTCGTGGAGGACTTTCTAAAGGAAACTGGCTCGTATACACGTTACACATGGGGAAAACCACGAAAACACCCATGCAGCCAGCCCGTTCGCGGGATTCGAACCTCGGAATGAACTACCAGTGTTCAGCGACTTTACCACTCGGCCGCTAGTGGGCCAGAGGGTGAAAAGGTAGTATTTTACGCAAAAATAGAGGGCACACAAATAAACAAAAAAAGCAAAGTGGCAGTGAAAGTGAATGTCTGTTGACTTGCTATTGACCTGCAAGTAGTATCCGAAGACAGAAATCTACAGCGATATCCTATCATTTTGCTTTTATTCTTGTTCTTTTTCTGGGGGGGGGGAGAGGGAAGCATTCTCCTCATACCTAGAAGGAAGATGTTTTTGTCATCAGCAAGAGAGTTTTATACCGAAGCAACTGTTGTTTAGTTGGCCGTCAAAACCTATAGAATATAAAGGCTGAAGGAAAAACAGAATATTTCTGTTAGCGAACCTTTCATCGCCCACGCCTTCGCCTCCTCAAATTGAAGAAAGCATAACTTGAATAACGTAACTGCGCCCTCTCTTAGCTCTAAAAAAGAAAAGAAAAAGGAAAAATAAAACATAACCACTCCAAAAACGAAAGAAAAAACAAACATAACCACCCGTCGTCAACTTTGCGATTGATCGGCAGCCCTCGCATAACTGGTGACGTCACAGTGACGTTTCACATTCGGCTTTCTTCGGATTCTCTCGGTAACCATATATGGGCAACACATTGCAACGATCTTAATACCGACTTTTTTTATTTGAGCTTAAAATAAAGCAATTTTTATAGTGCGCAAAATTTAATTGGATGTTAAAATCCCATTTTCAAATGATTTTGCAGACGATCTTCAGCTCTTCCAACGTGTGAACTGAATTCCTCAGTAGATTCGGGGCTCATTCGGCAAAAAATAAACCGATAGTCGCGATATTTCGTGTTGAATGAAAGCCAGGTACCTCGTTTCTGTTACGTCAGTATGACGTCACGCAGTCTAGAGTACGCATCGTTTAGATCCAGCTTTCCTATTGGCTACCCTTCAGCCACTACTCTCCAAATATGGAAAGCTGGTTTCTGAGATGTTCATTCATGAATTGAGGTGTATATAGTGTTTATCTCCAATAAGCCGCTGAAGTTCAGCTGATGATGTCGCTATGTCAAAATGAAGCGCGGGAAAATTTTCATAGACTGATACTGGAGTGAATTACTTCACATGACAGTTATATAATGAACTACAGAAACGTGTAGATGTTTATTAACTGCTTCAGATATCAAGAGTCAGTGAGAGGAATACAACAAATATGATGTTTGTGAAAGACAGAAATCCCCGAAAGATATAATTTTATGTTTCCTTTAAACATCGCTGTGCACAAAAAGGATACGAACACAAATAAGATTGCAGCAGGATTATTTGTGAGACATTTTAAGCTATTCCTCTGTTACGACCCGAAGGATAACTAGCATGATTATGGACGGTGTGGACACATTATCGCAAATAAGTTTTGATTCTCAACTGGCATTTCATTTTGATTTCATAAAGAGCGCTCTTTCAGCAGAAACGACGAGTGGTTCCCGTTCTAGCGGGGGGGCCGTCCCTTCCCAATCGGATCTCGAAAGCGAGAGGGGGGACGACCCCTCAATTACCTCTTTACTATCCCTTTTCATTGGTGATTTCAACCCCGATACTGACACAGGTAAGTTCATCAAAATACTTTCGATGTTTCAATATCGTGTTTTTTTATCGTGTTTAAATAAATATCGTGTTTTTTTTTTTTGTTTGTTTTGTTTTTTGTTATACGTATCCTTGTAAAGTTATAGCATATTTAAGAACTTCCACATTTTAAATGATTTTGGACAATTTGATCTTAGCATAACCACCTCCGAACTTTATTATTTTAAAAAAAAGATTAAATTCACTTGTTTCTGTCAATGGGAATCGGGTGACACATGACCTTTTACTTTAAATGTGAAAAGTCGCTCCCTCATTCAAGGCATGCTTTCTCTCTGCCCTCCGAAATCTTTTCCGTGCGTAAGATTTACTATCATACTTCGAAAATTTTCTCAGAAAATTAGTTTTGTTAAGACTTTTGTTTTCTTTTAAGTACGTCTAGTTATCTAAGGGAAACATAGAACAAGAGTTCAGATAAGAACTTAAATTTCACGTAAAGTAAATTTTGAAAAAGCTTGTACTTATTAGAAAAGTATTATGACTTAATCCTTTTTATAAAATATAATCAGAAATAAAGTTGATTTGAAACCTGAGCTCAGAGAGTATTATTTTAATTATATGTGTATTGTGTGAATTTTATGTTACTTATAATCTAATTTTTGTCTTAAAAACTTTATGCTCTACTTCAGAAGTAACAAAAATATATTTGTTATATGCTTGTTTGCTGTTTAAGGGCTAAGTAAATGAATTATTAGATATCAAATTTTATTAGTTTTTTCAGCTTTCTCAATGTATAGATCAATTTAATTTAAAGAGAAATTATTGGCAATTTTATGATTATCAACTGTAAATGCGAATTTAGTAGTATGATTATCAGCTGTAATGCGAAAAAACTAGTAAAGAGAAATTTATTATATTTTTACTGTAAAATGATCACTTTTTAAATATGAATTATGATTAACAAAAGTATTAATTTATTATAGATTATTTCAGAAAAATATCTGCATGTTTCTAAAACTGCCTTTTTTGAGTTTCGTATTGAGAGAAGCCATTTATTTGTGTTAGTATAAAAAGTTTTAAAATATAGAAGTTTACTTAAATAAATTATTTAATCGGTTTTTACAAAAAGATGATAAAAGATCTGATTTTATGGCACTTTAAGAGTATCATTCGTTTTCTTCCACATAGCAAACACTGAATTTGAAGATAATATGCGATTAACATGATAATCAACCAAATTTATGATTCTTTTGATCGGGATAATTTAGTTATTTTTAAAGACAGAAACCATTGCCTAGAAGCTTCTGTGTAAACTAAGAACATTAAAAATACACAGCTGAGTTCGTAAATCCGTCGGTTAAAAAATTTAACGATTGAAGAACATCTACTCTCCAATACAAATGCTGCTTTTCTTCTGCTCTGACGTAAGTATTGTAAAGACGTAACAACCACGTAGGACAAGCTGCAGACGGAAATCACGATCTTCCGGCAGTTATCCGTATTTTTGCAACCAAAAAGAAGAAACAAATTTCATTTTCGACTGAACTTCGAATTCAGTCCTTATTTGAGAAAATTTTGCAATGTTTAGGTTGGGAATCCTCAAAGAATGCAAACGTCTGTCGAGACGTAATGTACAGTTTAAATTAGCAATGAGCTACAGGTTGGAGCCATTTTGGCTCTCAGGGGTGACAGCAACTGAGAGCCAGATGAGCGAAGCTATTAAAAGCCATAGAAAGCGCAAAGGAAGTAATTTCGCAGTTAGTTACGTAAATGTATTTTATAGTGAATTAAAAGGCGCGAAAATATATTTTCATACTTGCAATTGTGCAATGAATTCTTAAAACGTTTTAGTTTTACTTAGTTATCTGTATAGTTACCGGACGTGTAAACGTTTATGGCTAAAGTTAATATAATTTTATTTACGCCTTAACGGACACTTTTTAACAGTTTTTAACAGAGAAACATTCGTTAACATATCGCATCGAACAGGATTTAATCAATTTTTTAGAATTTCATGCAAGTGCTTGAGCGTTGGAGAGTCTTTACAGTTTTAAATCCAAATGTTTAGTATTTTCTTCTCGATATATCAATTCGATTATGGTAAGGATGAATATAGCATTGGCTGTGGCTCATTGTGATGATAAAATCCTTGGTTCATCTTTTGTCAGAGGGCAAATATTCACACGCTTACTATCGATCGGTGAAACAAATTTCTTACAATTTTAGTTTTCGAAGAAAGGAACCCCCAAATGTAAAACAAGTCTAATTGTTAGTCTTCTTGAAAGTTTTTTTTTTAAAAATTGCTAAGAGCGAAACCTGGAGCCTGAATACTGAACTTTAACAATAAAGTAACTCTTATATCACGCCTCATATATTCCAGTGGTGTGCAATAAATGCTCTTAATTTTTTAAATTAAATAATCATGTTTTGCACCCGAAAACTTTCAGTTCCTTTTTGCAACCAAGAACTACCTAATTTTGTTCCACTGCATTTATCGCTGTTGAAAATCAGGATCATTAAGCAGGTGTCAGATTCGCGTAGGCTGTAGTATTCAAATAACTACTTGACAAAATCTAGAAGTTTTGCTAGGGTAATGTAATTTCAAATAATTTAAATTATTCCTATTTCAGTTGTTTCTTTAAATTATAAAGTTTACGACTTTTAACATTTAATAGGAAAATCTGTTGTTTCAACAAACAAATAATTTGGGATTTTTTTAGTTTTCTTTATATAAGAATATAACGCTTGTGGACAGTTTATAGCGCACAATAAGAAAGAACGCTTAGCGTAAAACTGATTAATATTGTTGATTTATACAACAACTCATCGTCAATTTATAGCAAAGGATACATACAATTTTTCGGATCAAAAAACTATTGCGCATCATAAACGAAAATTTGCAATTTAATTTCATAAAAAAAAGGGAAGTAAAAACCTGAAAATTTTCGTGGTGGTAGAAAATGCGTATTTTTCAATAGCTAATGATAATTACAAAACTATCTATGATGCAAGCTGATTCAAAGCATTTTAGTTTTAAATAAAATTACTCATCAATTAAAAGCCTGGATACAATAAAATTACAATTAATCGATTTATAGCTCCTTCAAGAGATAAAAATATTTGAAAACTCTTTGATTATGCAGAAGTTTATATTTTCTATCATATTTCATATTTATCATATATTCATTTAGTATATATTTTTTCTCTATATATAATATTTCATCATAACGATAAAATTCTCTTATTTTTCAAAGCGTATATTAACTACCTAGCAATTAAATTTTAGTGATATAATGTATACAACCACTCATATAAAACTGATTATTATCGCAATAAATCACATCATTTCCTTTTTTTTTTTTTTTTTTTTTTAAATAGAAGTTTTTCTATACATTCAAATTTGGTATACCAGGAATTATTTTTCTAATGCTTGTACTACAGATGTAAAATAGTATTCTAATAAGCATTGAGGACTATCACAGCTTACTTTTCCTTTTATTGAACGATAATTGACAATTTAGCGTGTTTTGCATGAAGTCCTATACTAAAAAACTGCTGCTTAACTTCACTTGTTTGACTGATTAAACAAATTGCATGAGACTGTCATTAAAATTAAGTAAATAAGATTTGATAAAATATTTAGACTTCCAGCTTATTGAAAAAATGAAATATAAAAAAGCACCAACAGAAAAAGTGCTTAAAACATTTCATTATTTTTGATTAAAAATATGTACCAAAATAGTTTTTAACATAAATTTTCGTATAAATTTAAACAGTAAGTTACGTTTATCTTAGCATTGTTATGAGTTTTACAGATAAATAATTACTTGTTTGTTTACAAATAGGCAAGAAACAAATGCTTAATATTTTTTAATATAATGTTATTGTTATTTTTATTACGTATAACTGCCTCATTCTTGCGATTTTGAACACCTTTTTTATAACTTTGATATTTAATGTAAAATAAAATAAATGCTTTTTGAATAAATCAGATATTTTATAGAAATCAAAATTTACCAATATGTTGTTATTCCCATATTTGTTGTTTGTGCTTCAGGTTTTCATAACTATTTCCGAAGTAAAATTTATGCTATATTTAATAGCTGTAAATGTAATATAAATATAAAATACTGGGTAGCACTAAGCTAAAAATTTCAAGAAGTTAAACTCTAGAAAATATGTAGTTTATTAATTAATAGTTCCTGTCTTTTAAAGTATTGCTGTTACTACATTTAAGTACACTTTTTCATATCTAAGCTTGCTGCTTGAAAAATACTGTCATCCAGCTGTGTCGTTTTTGTATCGAAAAACACAAATCAAGTCAGATAATTTTAAGGGAGAGAAAAGAATAAAATTAAAAAATTTATATTTTTATACCAGACAAGGCCACATTTTTATTTTTACGTATTGCATTTCTCGGAAATTAAAAAATGTTTGGGTCTAAATTTTACGTTACCTTGTATAATTTCAGAAATATACCGTTTAATTAGTTTAATTTTTAAGTAAGATTATTTTAAAACGTCTCTTCCCCCCCCCTCCGAGGAGAGCGCGTTAAAGGCGGTCTTTATTATTCTATAATATTATTAACCTTTCACTTCATTTATTTTTTATTTTATTAAAAATATCTATAAAAATATTTACTGACTTAAATTTTAGACGTACTAACCGTTTATTAATTTTATTCTTTTATTCCGCTTGAAGTTTATTTTATTTTACTTGTATTTTTTTTGGTTTCTTTAGTAGGTTTTTAAAGATTTTTTTAAAAATTATATTACACGCACACACATACACATATATATGTATAGTATTTTATGTGCGCAGTTAGAGAGATGGATGCAAAAAGCAGTAACTTTCAGATGTGGCCGTTTCAAAAACACAATTTTGTTCTATGGTAATCCACATCGGATCAAATTTGTAGACAGCGCAAAGATGTTAAGCACGGTGGAAACTAGGGAAAAGAATGACGTAGTTGTTTTGCAAAGAGTATTTATACTAAATATGATGCATATCTGCTAATTGCTAATC